CCTCTGCTCTTCTGGGGCCAAAAGGTGCAAAAGCAATGCAGGCAACGCTGCAGAGGAGAGCAGGTGGGTTGTAGGGGCAGTGCAGAGGAATGGGCTCCGCCTGGCCTGTTCCCCTCCCCACCCCAAATGCATGTGTGTGCACACACAGGCAGCCTGGTATACAAGTTCACACAGATACTTGCTCCTCAAATTATTTAACTAGCTGGTTTATCCACACACAACTATACCATCCGTTCTTGACATACTGAAAGGGAAGCAAGACGCAAATTGGGTGGGGCGAGGAGGGGTCTCAGATACCAAAGAAGTCAACTTTCTTCCATACACAAAAGAAGAATGTGTACCAAGGGCATCCTAATGGCCACAATGCACACATCTTGCTGCGTGGATGCGTGCTGTCAGAATAGCAATCACGGGGCAGAGGATGGACTAGAAGCGAGACTGGGGGCAAGGTGTGTTAACCTTCCCACCTGCAGCAGAGCCCCTCAGAATTGTCCCCCTCTACTGGCAGCTGGGCCACAAAAGAAAATCTACCATATCGACCTCTCTCTCTCTCTCCACACACACATCCACATCTAAAAATGTGATTTGTGTGTCTGATTTTTTGGGCAGGTCTGAATCACAGCATAGGGATGTGGCCCATTGATCCTACTTCCCTACAGGTGCCATTTTAAAAGAAGATGCACATATGCATCACAGCGTTATCATAACATGCAGCTTGGCCATCATTTAGCACAAGCTCCTTTTAAGTGCCTGCTCTTTCTACCAGATCCTATGAGCCTGGTGGTTTAGCGGGATAGGTACGTCAGACTATCATAGCTCCAGACTGGCCAAAGGACCAACTAAATCGAGTTATCTGGAATCCTAATCCTGATTATTTCCTTCTACAGCACCAGCAACATTTGTATCCCTTGATGGGCTAATGCAAGCAGAAAGAACATGCCAGAGCCCTGACCACAAGCACTTACTGCCTGCCTTTCCACACCGAAGGGAGACATGGGAAGTAAGGAAAGGGGAAGGTGAGCCCCCCTTGGGATTTGTTTTGGTTCAGGAAGCAGAGGGCCCAGGGATTGTGCCAAAGGGAAGGGAAGGCAGAGAGCTGGCATCTCACAGGAGTCCTAGGAGGGTGTCCTGGACTTAAGGGGCAGCTCGGGAGATGGACGGAGAGGTGGCAGAGGGGAGCTGGGCTGCAGGACAGGAGACATGCTAGATGCTAAAGACAGAGGGTTTCGCTCTGCAGCCCTCTCACCTCTGTGCCCATGGCTCTCGCATTTAATTTTGCATGGTTTGGGGTTTTGTGGGGGGCGGGTGCAGAGACACTGTGAAAGGAAGGCTCTTAGGAAAGCCAGCAGCACAGTGCAAAAGAGCTCAGCTGCAAACCCTTTCACCGAGCCCCCTCCCCGGCTTGTTGTTTGGCAGCAGCACTATCTAAATATACCACGGCTGGCAGGATGTTGGAGTTATAAATATCCCGCACGCAGCCCTGGTGGCATCCAGCCCCACAGCTCCTCTGGGGCTCATGTCAGTTACCAAGCCCTGCCAAAGACGGCACGCAGCAGCAGCCCCTATGTGGGACCACTTAAAGGACGGCGACATCCTGTTCGGCATCTGCAAGCCAAGGGGCTGGGAAATGCTCTCTAGCGGCGAGGACTGCAAGCAGAGGCTGATTCGGACACTGCAGTATGGCCCAGTTCTTCAGTCCTGAAAGGGGCTTCCCAGGCAGCCCAGCCGGGAGCCGGCAGATGTTTTCAGCTACAACGCCCAGAATTCCTGACCTTGGTTGTGCTTCCTATATCGGATGACAGTTTGAAATCCAAAAGGTTAGGGGGGTTCTGGCTATTCTGAAGGATCTAATTCATTTAAAATCCATTTAGAGCAGAGCTGGGTCCCCTCCAGATATTCTGGGCTACAACTCCCAGAAATCTCAGCCTACAACTCCCAGAAGTCTCGGTGCCCATGCTGGCTGGGAGTTGAGGTTCAACATGTCTGGAAAAAGTCAGGTGGGGAAAGGATGGTTTTTAAAAAATCACCACTTGCAAGTAGCAAACGTAAACAGCCAGTAGCAGTTGTGGAAGCCTCTAAAAATTCATAGCAATAGGATTTTCTTTTTAAGCATGGACACTCAAAATCTAGGCCAATAAGATCTTCATGTGGCAATGAAGATCACAAAGATCCTTAAAGAGAGCCAAGCTGGCACAAGGCAAGCCTGTCCATCATCATCATCATCATCATCATCATCATCATTATTATTATTAGAACATTTCTATGCCTCCCCTTGCCGAAGTCCATGAAGGGTATTCCCAAAAGGCATGTAAATACCTTAAAGAGAGAAATGCTCAAGTATACAACCTGCCTGTAACTTACACTTGTATTACATATATGGACATGGGATTCAAAACATGTCACATACCGGCCTGCATGCCTTATTCTGCAATGAAGTAGATGCACTCTGCTGATGCTCAGAGACACACTGCATATGCTGCAGAATTAAATTCTGGCAGTAAAAACAATTCTGAGGACGAGCTTAATCCTGAGCAGCGAGGTTGGGGGAAGTGACTTTCTCCAGAAGGAAAATGCAATAAAATGCTTTTTAGTACTGGACTGAGTGCTGCAGAGATCTCAAAGGACTTATTCAGTTACCTGGAAGGATATTTTACTGGCCATAGGGAACAGCTGATGCAGTTTAGTGGGTAGAAACCGGTATCTTGTAAGATACCTGCTTTAATTCCTACCTCTTTCGCAGTTCCACAGACCGGCCAATAATGTTTTCACAGAGCATTGGGAGAAAAGAGACTGTGGAACACTTCACACATCCTAAGTGCTCCAAAAATGTTTAGCAACTGAAAGTTTCAGAGTATGTGATTGGATACACTGTATTTTTCAATAGCTCCTTGTCAAAAAGACCAAAACAAGTTGACAAAGAGACAATCCACAGGTTACTGAAACAGATAAACAATTACATATTGCATACACACACGTGCATGCCCACACACACACACACACACACACACACACAGAGAGAGGGAGGGAGGGAGGGAGGGAGGGTGAACTTAATCTAGATACAGCCTGTACTGCTCCAACCTGGAGCATTTAGGAAATTTGTCTGGATTTCGCTGGGAGGCCACCTTCAGATAAATGCTGGATTCACTGTGTGTTAATTTGTTTTATATTTTGAATGTATTATATTTTAATTTTATGTTGTGAGCCGCCCCGAGGCTTCGGCAAATGGGGCGGCATAGAAATGTTTTAAATAAATAAATAAATGCCACATTTGAAATCACACAGTTAAAAAGCTAGTGGGGTGTGCAGGTTGGGGTGCTGCACTGAAGATTTGGAAATCTGGTTTCTAGTCCAAGTAATTTTAGGCCAGTCACACACTCTCAACCGAACTCACCATACAGAGTTGTTGGGAGGATAAAAGGAAGCTATGTAAGCTAATTTGAGTTCCTCAAAGAGGAAAAAAGTGGGATATAAATGCAATGTAATTATTAAGAATAATGCATGCCTTTGATATTTGCATCATGTTTCTCCCTCACAACAGCAGCCCTGTGAAGCAAGTTGCTTTTATTTCCCTTGCACAGGTGGGGAGACTGAGCAGCGGAGCTAGCATCTTACTCAGAGCCACACAGCAAGGTCAGATCTGCAGGCTGGCTCAAATAAAATGGTATTTTTCACACTTTCTGATGTCAGGGAATTTTTTCCCTTGCCAGTTCATCTGCCAATGACCGCTAAGGAAGGCCAATGTGACCACTGACCCAGAAGCCCAGGCTTGCAGAGGGCAGGAAAGCGACCCGGGGAACACACTCCGTCCGTGTGTGTGCTTGCCAAGGGCTTATCACTGGAGAGAGCTTGCCCTGAAAGCCAACAGGCTTCTCCCACTGATGCTCTGCAGTGAGTGCTTGGGCAAAGTCACTCACACCCCTCCAGAGATCTGCCTAAAAGCCCTCTGAGTGAATGGCCATCCCATCCTACGGCAACTACTTCGACCAGTAGTCCAGCACCATTTTCACACTACGCCACAACTAAAACAAAACAAAACAAAACGCCACCACTAAGAGCAGTGCACCCACAAATAACCCAAGTCTGGAATGCAACTCCTGGGAATATTCTGAATACGGCAGGAAGAAAGATGGGGCTGCTGTTTTCCTAAGCCAAGCAAGTTTTTCTAGTAAACACCAGCCTTGCAATTGTAAGGCACGAGTCTCCCATGTAGACGTCTTCCTCTCCCTTGCCCAGTCGAAGATTATCAACCAGCAGCAGCCAGCCACACCTAGGCTCTTCGATGCCTTTCACTAACAACTACATGGCAGGCAAACATTCAACAGGAGAAGCCTTCCTGGCCTTAACATGACAGGTGTTTCAGGGGTCTTGTTTGTGCCTGTCATGTTTGTGCCCAGCGTCCAAATTCCATCCAGCTTTGTTGGTAACCACACTGTGACGTTATTCTAGAATGACCTCTTTCCCACTTTTCCCTCTGAAAAGCGGGAAAGAAGTGCCTCAAAGGAAAAAGGGAAAGGGCAGGTCTTTCAGCCCCCCAAACAGCTCTGAAATCCCCGATCCATTCCACAGGTCCCGAAACCGCCCGACGACCTTCCCCAGGGAACCACGCCCTCCATACGCTGTCCGAACGCAGAGGGCACCCGAAGCTCCGTCGCACCGCCTTATGCGAAGCGCCCCCCGCTCTGATCTACCCCGCACTCAGCTTTGCTAACCTCAGCAGCCTCCCGCGGACCCCGTCTTCCAGCTAACCCTCACGACCACCAATCCGCTGCAGCGCAACCCAAAGCTCCCCACCCACCGAAGGCAAACTTCTGTCAGCGTCTCGTAACCAAGTTCGCTTTCCATAACTCGGGGCAGGGGGCAGCTCTGTTAAGTTCGGGAAAGGGGGGCTGCCCTCTCCCACTCCCAGATTCTTCCCTCGGGGTGCAGCGGACGCCGCCCCACCCCTCGGATCTGGCCGGCCAAAGCGGGCGCCGCGGCGCGGTGGCCTTGAACTTACTCACAAAGTGCTTCCCGAAGTCTCCCGCGACCGGAGGCAAGCGCACGCTCCGACACCGGTTGCTTTCTGCGGGCGATCCCCCTTGCTCCCAACCCTTCCTCTCCTGCCACGCGGTTCCGGCAGTTCACCTCGCGGCGGGCGCCCCCCGCGGCAGGTCCGTCCTGGGGACAGAAATCCCCGCCCAAGCGGTGGCCGCGCGAACCCGGGTGGGCGCGGGGGGAGCGCAGGGAAGGGAAGGGAAGGGAAGGGCGAGGCGAGGCGGGCCCGGAGCGCCAGAAGGGCCGAGCCGAGCTCAGCCGCGGCTCGCGGCGCGACTTCGCGGGCCAGGCGCGTCGTGAGAACGCCGCCTGATGCTGCCCTCCGTCGCCAGCGGGTCTTCCGAAAGCGAGTTGGAGGACCGTTTTGACAGGCGTCCCAGCCCCGGGCGCCGCCTGAATCCCGCCTTTCTTGCTTCCCCTTTCCCACTTTTATTCCGAGAGATCATGCGGATCCGGAGATGCCTGTGCCAGTTATTGAACGCTGCTCGGGCGCGGCTACCCAAATCTTGGGGAAAGTTGCGGATGGAAGGCACCTTGGGCTGCGTGACGGCGCAAGCCTGGGCCTGCCTGTTCAGATGCAGGGCCTTCTTAGTTAAACGGGGCTTACCCGCAGGTAAGTGTGCATAGGATTGCAGCCTTGCACTCTTTCGTGTCAGCACCAGTTTGCACGACTGCTAGTCTTACCTTGTCTCAGCCTTTCTCAACCTTCTCCAGGAGCTCTTGAAATTGCCTTGGCTCATATAGCCCATGTATGAAAATTAGAAAGATAGTCCCTGGATTTAATATAAGCACAGGCTGTAAGCTGAGCTAAATTAATGCAATCCCACATTCATAGCTGACTCCATTTGCTCCACACACAGGTTGCACAAAGAAGAAGACCTCTGCTTGTTTCCAGTTAAACACTGTTTATTATTATGCTATTAAGATTATTGAAATGATCAAATAACTTGTGGGTTTCTATATTATACTACAGACACATACACATGAGAATGTGGAAGCACAATGCACCTTCAGTGATCATTTGAAGAACCCTGGGGTTCCAGGTGTCGGGAGTGCAAAAACACCCGCAGAGAGAGCTTACTGGGGATGTACAATTGAAAGAACATTCACAGTTCATTCAGACATACAAGACAATGCATGTGTGTGCAGGCAGTCCCCAGAGGGACTACCAAGTTGGAGTTCGTACATGAAGTTTTACCAGTTTGGAGGAAGCGTTAGAGATCAGGTAGGCAGTTCGCTAACAGAACATTAGGATAAAACAATAAGGATTTCAGTCAACACAAAAAGAACCACCTTCAGGACAGGGGCATTAGCATGTCTAGAGGGCACCTGGGAAGCAAGACTTGCAACACGGATTCCTGATCAGCTCAGGAACAAGACAAGGAGAAGGACCTTGGGCATCTCTAAGAGTGGACCTCCAGTGGACCGGCATGCAAATAGCATTTCTAAGGTGTTGTGGGAACAAGGCTTGTAATACGGACTCCTGGAGATCGATAATCCCATCTTAAGCCTAAAAGTTGTTCTTACACTGTCAGGCTTTCAGCAACCACTTTATGGCCGAGCTTTTGCTCACTTTGTCCCGACACAGAAAAAGGCTGCAGCAGGTCCTGTGCTTTGCCCTCCATGGTCTTTGCACCACAGGCTCTTCATTCAGACTAACCATCTGAATAGTCCAACACTACTTGGAGAAGCTACTTTGAACATATATAGCTCCAAAAGCCAGAACCATTCATGGTCACTCCCCCCGCCCTCCTTGCACATTCAGAATAGGGTCCGGATGCTAACAAATTGTGATTTGACAGTCTGTCGCATCCTTTGGTGGACCCAAATCTTGTGCATCTCTACTCAAAATGGTCTACTCCCCACTTTTTCCCCCAAGGATTGCAGCATCTTGAAGTGGTTATGACTGCATCCATTTTGGAAAGAGGTAACTAGATGTGAATCATATGAAGATAATTCATTTGCACAGTTTTTGAGTGTTTAAATAACAGCCACAACACCTCTGCTCTGCCCCTGATGAAATTTACCTGTCTCTCCCTACAAATCTATTCCCATCTAAGAGAAGCTTAGCCGCTGCCAACCATTTAGCTGCTGCCAACCATTTAGATACCAATGTGCATCTAAATGGTTGCATTGCAGTCTTTCGGTATACCCCATTTTAGACATATACTTGGACTGCTGCAGATCAGCAGTGGCTGAAAGAAACCCCATGTAATCAGACCCACCTTTGCCTACAAGCCTTAATGATAAAGGCCATTGCAGAGCCCACCTGGGCACCCACTGTGCATATTCTTCGTGCCCTCAAAGTTGCATGCCTGGCAGAAATTCAACAGACACATTTTCCCCTCTTGCTGTTCAGCTGTTAAAAGGGAGAGAGTTCTATGAAGAAAAAAGAAGCAGTCTAGAAGCATCATCCAAGAACCACCTTGTGATGCTGTAACAGAAAAGGCTTTATTTGTTGGATTTCTGCTTGCAAAGAAGTTGAAAACTTCAGAGTCATTCCAGGAAAAAATTGGCACCCCAGAGGATGTATTTACTGCCTGTGCCAGGGGCATTGCTAGGCACTTAAAACATTCAGGGCCCAATCCTTCCATTGGCATCCGCAGAAGATCCCCCCCCCGCCCTGCCACAAACTTAATTGCCTTACAGATGAAGATTTGTATGGGTGTCAGTTGCAAAGGAAAGGGAGTTAATCCCTCCTTTCCTAGCTGGGAACCTTCAGGAAATCTCCTCCCTTACCTGGCAGTGAAGTTTAGGAAATGCCATGGAAATGCAACGGAAATATTGCCATGTTGATGGCAGGAGGGGGTTAGGAGGAGCATGCAGCATGTGGGGAGAGCTGGCCTGGTGGCTGGAGTGAGGAGATCTGGGCTGTAGGCCCCACTTGGCCATGAGGCCCACTGGGTAAATTTGGGGCGGTCATTGATTCTCAGCCTAAACAACTTCACAGGGATGTTGTGAGGGTAGAATGGGGAGGAAGAGCCTCTGTTATCAGCCTTGGATTCTTCCACAGAGTAATATAGACAGATATAAATGCACTATAATAATAAGTCCCTTTCCTCCCCAGCTTCGCCCCCTTCCCCAAAAAATTGCCCCCCTGTATGGTAAGCTGAAGGGGGGAAACACCTTCCACTGACACCAATGTACACTCAAGGACACTGGAGAATAGATCCCTGTGGGAAATGGATTCAAGTCCTGGATCTCATGGGCCCAGAGGTCCTGGAAGATACCTACACATCTGGGGAGAATAGAATTGTTTGAGTTCATGCATTGCTTTATTCTCCAAATGATCAGACCCCATAGACGAGGGCTCTCTATGCAACCATTGCTAATACTCCCAGCCATGCAAGTTAATGCACCTGCTCTTTCTGGACGGATCAAACTGTTAAGTTCAACTGTGTCTCTGTAGTGTTACCTGTCCCACACCCGAGCTGGATTTGGGTAACCTTGTGATCCTTGAAATGGCCGAATAAAATGATTGCCCTTTACATGGGCTTTGCATGCAGTTTTTTCTTGTAAGAAAAGTGATGGGAGAAGCAGTGAAAACGGCACTGAGTATGAATATGGTTCGGACACTTTTGTACAAGTCCATGAAGGAGACATGGAAAACATGGGATATGGAAGCACTCACAAGGAACTGATGCTTAGAGATCTGCAACTGAGAAATCTGGGAAAGAAAGTTAGCAGGTGGCGAAATATTCCAATAATACAAACAAATTGGCCTGAGCTGAAGAAAGAGAAGCAATAGTTAAGACGTAGCAATTTGGCTTAAGTGGCTCACTATGGGTAAGAGACCACTGTTGATGGGTTACATATTTGGGATCAGCTCTTCCCCTGCAAGCTCAGAATGGCATGTGATCAGATGTGTAAGATTATTGTGATCAGAATGGCCTGTGATGATATTATTGTAAGCCATCCTGAGATGCTAGTGGTAGACAGGTTAGAAAAGCGATGATAGATAGATAGACAGACAGATAGATAGAGAGTGAACGCTGCAGAGGTGGGGAAACCTCTGTAACACTGAAGACGAAATTAAGCATTGGTGAATTTGTATTTGAAAGGAGGCATATTCTACTGGTGGGCGGGACCAAAGGCAAATGTAAGATTAAATGCCGCAGTGACTAATCCTTAGCAGAGGCCTTTCTCCCCCTGGATTGGGCAAAGGATTGCACTATGGCCAGAAAACACCAAATGCTGTGGTTAAGGGGGTGTGACCACCTGGGGAATCCCAAAGGGCTGGATGGCTGCCTCTGGTCGACTGTGTTTGGTTGACAGATCAGGAGTTCAGTGCTGTTGACCTGTCACATCCTCTGAGCCAGGTGCTGGAATGACCTATGTATGATACAGTGTTTGGCAATGGTCAGTGGTGGCAATGGACCTTTTTGGAAACCTGCTTGTACTTGGAGTAAGATTTGCTCCTCAGCTGTCCTGTCTTCCAGTTTCAACAGCAGAAATTTACTATAAAGTTTTGCCGAAGTGTCCAATAAACTTATTGCTCTTCAGTTTTGTGGGTCTGTTCTGTCCCCTTTTCTGAAATGGCTACAATAGTCAACTTTCATCAGACCTGTTTCATTAATCAGCCAGAACAATCTAGCCAGAACTGGGCCCCACCACTGAGGGAAGGCTTTGCCTACATATATAAATACAAATCTTCATCCAAGTTACTACAGATCAGCTTATGGGGAAGAAGGAGACACACTTCCTGTCATGCTTATACTTCAGAGATGAGCCAAAAACTCTTTGCAAGGAGCATGAATACTTTGTTCCTGCCCTGGCAGCTGTGGGGCAAGCAACAGAGGTAAGTAGGGAAAAAGAAAGAAAAGACCCCCCCCCCCATTTATTTCTGGTTCTGGCCACACCCCATGCTTGGTTCAACCTTACCCAGTGCCAGGATTTGATCATGTGTTCCCCCTGCCCAACAGATTAATATGTTGGTCTGATTTGTGAATCATTCCAAAGCAAAACCCCAGTGAAACAGAGTGAGAGTCCAGTGAAATAGAGTTGAAATGAAGAGCAGCTGCAAATACAATTTAAGGGGCAATTCTGTACATATTTAGAC